TGCTAATAGCTGCTACCTCCATTCCTCTAAATTTGCCACCGTGACCGATGTCGTGTGCGTCTGCACTGTTGTATGCTCATTGCTGCTACCTCTATTCCTATACATTTGCCACCGTGACCGATGTCGTGTGCGTCTGCACTGTTCTGTGCGTGCCTCTGCACTGTTGTGTGCTAATAGCTGCTACCTCCGTTCCTCTAAATTTGCCACCGTGACCGATGTCGTGTGCGTTTGCACTGTTGTGTGCTCATTGCTGCTACTTCCATTCCTATAAATTTGCCACCGTGGCCGATGTCGTGTGCGTCTGCGCTGTTGTGTGCGTGCGTCTGCACTGTTGTATGCTAATAGCTGCTAACTCCATTCCTATAAATCTGCCACCGTGACCGCTGTCGTGTGCGTCTGCACTGTTGTACGCTACTAGCTGCTACCTCCATTCCTCTTAATTTGCCACCGTGACCGATGTCGTGTGCATCTGCACTGTTGTATGCTACTAGCTGCTACTTCCATTCCTATAACTCTGCCGCCGTCGGCGATCTCGTGCCTTATCCCCGGGGTCGGCGGCAGGGGGCGGAGCCCTTACAATTAAGAAGAAGCAGCCCCGCTGAGGGCTGCAGGTGCGCTGCAGGTTGCTTTAAGGTGTTTTCCTTGTTTGAATCCATGTGAGCTCCTGTGAGAATTAGACCCCTAAAACTTGCCACAAGAGCCCAAACGACCAGACTTTTTCGAATGCATCTTCACAATTCCTCTGCGCAAGGGCAGCTGTACATCGAGAAACTGGCCCCTTTTGAGGCATCGCCGTTTGTTGCGCTCCTGTTGAGCGCTGTTGACGACTGTGACCCTGAAAGGTTGTGTCCCACTAGGAATCTTTAACAATTCTTTAACCCTGCTCTGTGTTTTAGACACACGGCGTTTCACCTTCCATATCCGGCATGCATCACCTCCTAGATCTCAAAGTGGCTGGGTCATGTGGCAGCTCCCGGTGATTTCGGTATGCTCCAGGCCTTGCTTGTCTACAAAGTGGTAGGTTCTTTGTCTCACAATTCTGTGACACGTTCAATGGAGAAAGTCTACCCGTACAGCCAGGTTCCCGGAATTTATGGCACAAGGCCTTGTCGCACCTTTGCTTCAATCTAAGATGAATCTATCCAGTATCTGAATCTATGCAGTGCCCACCGGAAGGAAGATTGTGGGTTTCAACAAACATGCTGCGAACAAACAAAAAGAAAGGCCGTGAGAAGTGCTGCGGGAAAATTGAAGAAAACCTGAAAACCATTGAAAACCACTCTTTGCGAACGGAGAGGCCCCGGCGTGACCGCCTCGAACTCTGCCGGTAGCCGGGCCCTTTGCCGGGCTGTACCAAAGCTGAAGCCGGACCGGGCCTTGAAGACGGTGACCTCATACCTCGAAAGAGAATAGACCGAGGTGAATAAGTCCCAAAACATACATTTCCTTGTGCAAAAAAAACAAATTGAAATTCTGAGATACTCTCCAGGCCCTGGAATCGAAAGATGTGGCAAGGCGTCCCCTTTGCGTCGAATGGTGATTTTCCCCCGTCCAAAGGGCTCTGGAAGGTTGTAAGCACCTGGCCCCGGAGCTTTGCCTCGGGCTTGAGGCGCTTCCCTCCTGCGCCATCTCAAAGCAACATGGCTTAGGTGGCTTAGGAATGACTCCACACCTACGAGGAGCAAAGGGCATCGCTACTAGGAGCAAAGGGCATCGCTACTAGGCGCAAGGACGCTACTAGGGGCTCCTGGCATCGCTACTAGGCGCAAGGACGCTAGTAGGTTGGAGGCCATCGCTCTTGGGTTTTTTGAGGCCGCTCCTGGGAGTGCAAGAGATCTTGGCGTCTCCTAAAGTGCCTGGCTCTTCATAGGTGCCTGGGCCTGGAGCCTGGTTGACCACGCGGGTCTTCCGGGTGCCGGTGCCAAAGCCAAAGCTCGGCTGAGTTTGATGTTTGGAGCTGAAGTCCCGGTCGTGCATGTAACTCCCAGGGCCAGGCATCTTGAACTTCTCCTTGCCTCTGGAGCTTGGAACGTGAAACTCGAAAATTGTTAAAACGCTACTAGGGGCTCCTGGCCTTACTACTAGGAGCAAGGACGCGTTGGAGGCCATCGTTTAGTAGAAACAACGAAAAAAGAAAAGAATGGTCACATATTTGTACCTGTTGTCCTGTGATATCCTATGTTCGTCTGTTTTCTTTGTCTCTATCTCTCTACCGGTCCTTGTGGCATCTTCGATGCAAAGCTGAACTTCGGCGGTGCTGTCACCGTGGACAAGGCCTGAAAGCCACTTTTGTCCGGAAGACTTGGCGAAGGCGTCTTCCGGGAGGGCTCCGGTGTGCTCGAGGGCCGACCTGTTGGTCCAGCTTCCGAGGGAGGACCTTCCTTGACATCTCCCTCCACGGCATTCAGCATGGCGCAAAGCCTAAAACCTCTACCGCGTCGTTTCGAAACCTCAAAGCCACAAATTGACACACTTTGACAAAAACGTTTGATGTCCGCTTTGTCTATGTGTCTCCAATTTGAGTCGACAACTGGACCCGAGCATGTTAGGCTCTTCACCAACCCTGAATCCCATGGAGCCAAAAAATGCAGCGCTAAACTCATTGCACTCTGAGAATGACTCTGATTCCAGAAACTGTTCCTTTCCATGTTCTTTCTTTGGGTTCCACAAGCGCTCTTGGCGGGAAGTCAGTCAAGGCTCGATTGGTGCCAGCCATACGAGCCGATTCGGGCCCCACCAAAGAAATAGCTGCCTAGGAGTCGGACACGTAGCAAGAGAAGGCGCATGAGTGATGAAGAGACGGTGTTCAATGACTAGTGACTAGTTTAAGGTGTTCCTGAGGAAAGGCGGAAGTGAAGGCGGGTTTTGGCTCTCTCCATGGCCGGGGCACCGTTCATGCGCTCCCCATGGTGGTAACCGCTCCACGGTCCACGGGCCATGGCCGCGGGTGCATTCAGCTCAAAAAGGCTGTCGACATTGCTGCACACCTCCAGGGTCTCCAGACAACTGTATAACTAAGCACGCTACTAGGGGCTCCTGGCATCGCTACTAGGAGCAAGGACGCTAC